CTGAATGGGGGGCTACAGTTCAGTGGGCCAGACACAACCAAATGAACGGCCGCCGGGACCTGTCGCGAGCGCGGGATGAGGACATCAGAAGTGCCTCAAGGAGATCGGTTGGTGCGAGCAAAGAAGTTAATGGGCCGCCTTCGGACGTGCAGGCGCAAAGTCAAGTCAAAGTCAAGGATTCTTGAAGCGCTGATTTGTGTTGTGAGGCTCATTGCGTATCACCTTCCGCGTTACCGCCGTTGAGGCCAAGCAACTGCTGATGTGGGATTGGCTGCACATGCCGTGGGGAAGGTCACGAATGAACCTGCCATCGCGAAGGAGAGCCGCAAGGCCAAAGAGGAATAACAGTTGAGGAAAGGCCGCCCAAGCCCCAAGAGAGGCGGGGAGGGTGGCTCAGCCCCTATGACACCGGGGGCCGGGCTGGATCAAGCTGGTGGATGCACCAGTGCGTGGCAAATTTGATGAAGCACACTGGGGGATAAAGTGGCCCCTCGGTTTTTTATTGAGCTGAAGTACATGAATTCGCAGACTGGAGTTCTGCCGGAGGTTTCTGCTGCCATGGAGCCAGTTTTGAGGAACGGTCACCAATCAACCTCCTCGAGAAAACGGGGTCGAAGTGTTGAAAGAGTCTTGCTGTCCATTCATCAGGAACACATTTTGTAAAGTTGAAAGGCCGAATAGACTTGATCGATTTGTAGACAAACGGACTCATCTAGTAGAGAATAAGGAGACAACAAACTCTACAAAATGATATCGTTTTGTTGATTCCCTGGGAGGGCCCATCATTCTGTAGATTTTGTGCATTTTTCATTTTCTACACAATGACATACAGTGACCTCGAGCGCTGCATTTTGTAGATCTTTCATGGGTTGTCGTACTTTTTTCGTTTTTTTTTTTTCCACCACCATTTTGTAGATAGTATCATGTTGTAAAGCCAAGAAGTGGTTTTTTACTACAAAATGACTGTCTCGACCCCACGCCCTGAATTTCAACGGGGGTAGAATTTGAGGGACACCGTTGTTGAGCATCTCCAAAAGCTTGGGTTTATAGTTCGTGAGGAACTTGATACCATTTCAATTGCAAACTCTTTGGGGTACAGAGCTGACGGTATTGTAGCCACAGTGGGGCCAAACCCACGCAAATTGGAACTCGTGCCGTTTCTACGAGGTCACATCATGAAGGGCGGCCACGGGTTCCCACACGCAGCGGGGATGGGGGACGTTGACAGGCGACACCAGCGTGACATCGCGCCCTGGGCGGGGCGCCTCACCTGACAGGTGGGGACTATAAGGACAACCAGCAGGCAGGAACCGTGGCAGTTTCCTACTTTCAGGCCAAACAAGTCTGGGTGCCCACTGGGTCGTATGCTGGCGTCGCGGAGGGCTGACTGGGGCCCAAATCAAAGATAGGGGGAAAGGAGGAAAGGAAGGTCAAAGGGGAACGTGGCAAGCCGAAACCCCAACGCAAAGGAAAGGACAAAACACATAAAAAACAGGGACCGGGAAAATGAGGACAAAGAGCATTGCCCTATGTGCTGGCGGCACGGCGCACGGTGGACCAAAGCTGGGATAATGCGGAGTAGTGCAAAGGGGCAAAGCGCGAAAGGTAAGGGAACCGGCCAGAAGGGCAAGTCAGGCGGTATCAATGCTGTTGCTGATGACGCCGCCAGCTATACCTGTCTGTCGGCCCCTGCGCCTCGCAGCTCCAAGCGCGAGGACCGACCTCAGCCTCACGCGCCGCCGTCTGTATCCAGGCAGAATGTTTGCGACGTCTCTGATGGCGGCCGCACCCCCATGCTCGGCGCAAGGAACTCCAGCCCGAGCAACGGGGATGTTACCTGTGGACACTGGGGTCGCTGGGGCTTGCTGCGTGTCAGCCTGCTGCCCTTCAGATCCTTCAGCCTTTGATGCTGCTTTTGGATCGCCAGGGCAGTTTGACTCCCCGACCTCCAGAGGCCGAAGGAGCAGTCGTGGTGCGACGAGTCGAGAACCGGGAACAATCCTGCCACGCGCAAAATATGTCGCCGTCGGAATCGAAGAGAAAAAATGCCAGTTCCATCGCACAAACTTGACCTTAGGACACTCCACTGACCGAAGAGTGGGCTAAGCGCTTTGGATCGGCTGTGGCCAGTGGCATTTACCTGTTCAGCTGACCGAAGGGATGTTGTCCACGCGGTGACAAAGCGGGCACGCCGCACAGCGAGTCATGCAAACGTGGTGCGGGTACCAGTGTTGGATCCCGACGGGCACCAACGCCTTGCCGGTGAGCTGTGCAGCGACAGCGGTTGGGCTGGATGGCCCGAGGACAGAAGGTCCACTGATGCCCTCCTTAACGTATTTTCGCGGTGCGACCGCCCCCACTCAGACGCAGCTGAGGCTACCAGCCACGTGTTCACCTGATTTCACCTGATTATGCTGAGCTCTGTGGGATGAGCCGCGCTGCTCGAGAGGCCATCTTCCTCAAGGGGTTTGCGACCGAAAACTTCCGCGTGTCCTGACGGCGGCCAAGCGGATCGGGCCAAAAAATAAATTCCGACATCTCGAGGTGTGCGAGTTCTACGTCCAAGGGGTCGTGCAGGCTGGGCAACTGCAACTGCGCAAAGTGAAAGGCACCATGACCATTGCCAACTTCCTCGCCAAACATCCCGAGACGGGAAAGGGGGTCCAAGAAGCACTGCCATCTTGGGGACTGACAGCTGCAGAAGCGGCGGCAGGAACCGCAGAATCGAAGAAGGGCATGGTGAAGACGCTCAAGGAAAATCCACCGACCCAGTGGAAGACCATGGAGCCAAGGAAATCTGCACTTGTGCGGTGCTCACGCCGCCTGTCAGATCCAGGGAGTGCGTGGGCAGTCAGGCCAAAAAGAGGACATCGACGTTTTCAACCTTTTGCTCTTGTTGGGCATGTTGATCGTGTTCACCCTAGGACTGTGGATGCGCCCGGCCATCATTCGCCGGCGCCGATTGCGGAGGAGCGACAGGCTCTGCCAGAACCGGCAGCAGCGCAGGCACAGGCAGAGACGCAACCAAATACCATTTCGGGCCCACGAACACGTGCGGGAACCCCTCGGCTTTGGGTGCGTGGTACAGAGACCTTGGAGCTTGAGCCAGTGGTGCCTGCAGCCCTTTTGGGCGTGGTGGAACGGAACAGACAGGTTTTACCACGGCTAGGCCATAACAAAAAGATGATGCAGTTGCACAACAAAGTGCAGCAAAGCAACAAAGAACAGGGAGGGATGTGTCATAGCCACTGGACACCGCGGGGCGTTGGACAACAACGAGCGGAACATGACCACAACACGTGGTCGGAATGATAGCACGAGCGGAACATGCGTTTACTAATTCTTGCGCTCGTGATCAGGTTTTTTCGCGCACCGGACGCCGGACCTCGTTTCCTTCAGCTTTGTTCCGTTGAAGAAACAGGCCCATTGGAATGTTTGTTGTTGCGCGCCCCCGGCATGAAATGAAGTGAAAATGATCTTGACGAAAAATTTGTCCACGAATTGGTATTCTCCAAGGAATAGTAGGTCGTCCATGCAAACTATGATGTAGGCTTTTGCTTCAGGTGTTCGTGCCGCGGCCACACCGTCGGGCTACTTCGAACATTACCTCCGTTGTTTTGTTTCGCTGTGCCCACTTGAAATCACCTGTGCCCATTTGCAGTCGACGATGTTAGTTTTGTTTTGGTCTGTCAGTCTTTGGTGTGTGTACTTCTGTAAGGACTCCATGTTTTTCATTGACCCCATCTCCGTCCCCATTCCTTGTTACTGGTTTTCCACATCGTTTCCTTCACTAATTGTCGCGAACCACCGAGTCTCTTGTTGCGCTTGTTGTTCCTTTTTCGTTTTTTCCATATTTATAGTTTTGTGATTTTTTGTTTTGTTTCGATTGTCCGGGTTGCTCCCCCGGCAACAGGCAGGCCACTACCCCACTCCCGCAGGGTGACCTGAAGTATGGACCGTGAAAACACAACAACAAAATCTGGCTGTCCGGAGTGCGGCGGCAAACCTTGGAGTTGTCATGGTTGGCGTTTCACTAGCTTGCCTAGTTGTAGGTATGATTCAAAGGTTGCAAAGCAACGTTTTCGCACAACATCTTGCGCTGCGAATGTGCTTTTGGACAGTCCCTTCACGTCCATGTCGCTCCGTCACGGGCAGTCCAACACCAACTCACCCAGACATGCAGGCCACATTTCTCGAGATTCAGTTACTGGAGGATGGCGTGGGGCTCAGAAGCATCAGGAGCGGTTTTGCCTGTGAAATTCATGGAAACCTTTCATAGAAACAATTTCGTTTGTGACACGGATGAAGGCGACAGTACGCGTTTGAAGCGGCTGAATGCTAGGTAAACACCAAACCTCGTTCTTGCACGGGTGCAATGGGAAATTTGGGTTCTCCCAGTTTAGTGTCAAATTAAGGCATGACCGACCCCGGGAAGACCAGCTGATGATAGCCCAGGTGCAAATCGCTGTGGGCGTGAGCATCCGTTCTGTTGCATTGTTGTGGTGGTGTAGTTCCAGGCAGTTCTCGCGTTTTTGCATGGGATGGCAAGCAACCCATTAGAGGCAGTAGAATGCCAGAGCATCCTGTGACGCATGCATGAAAACTCTGAGGAGATGCTTCAAGACCTGTGTGGGATGCATCATGTATATCATATCCCCCATTCTTGGTAATAGATGTATGTATTTGCGGGGTTTCCTTCAATCCGCGGATAAGTCGGCCCGGAAAGGCAAGGCTATGGGAAACTTCGAAGCGCGCAGGGAAACTCAAGGCCGTTGAACTGGGCAGTGGCACAGCGCGACAAAGCTGCTGGGGTGTTACTTGACGTGTATGCACATCAAAAAAACAGTTGACTGGCCAAAGTTATTTAGAACATTGCAACAAGTAAAACACACTAACCTTCAACATCCAAAATGTAAAATCCTTCAGTTTATTCACGGGGAGTGCTTTGGCTCAAAGCTTGTGGCTGACAAAGGGCCGGGGATAGAGCCGGGGCGCACGTGATGCCGGGGAAATGGTGGGTGCTGACAGCGGTTGCTTCAGCGGCACATGAGAAAGATGGGCTGAAGGCCAGTGCTTCGACGAATTGTTTTTGAAAAAACCAGTGGTTTTGTGGTGTGTGAGCTGGTGGGAGGATGTGATTGAAGCCGCAACTAAGAGTGCTGTACAGCATCTTGGCAGGGTTTCGTAGGCTTGGAGCACAGAATGTATATGCAAGAGCGCGTGGACACATGGAAGAGATGGAACTTTTGCTGAGGATGATCGACAAGCTGGAAGGTGCATGCGGGGCTTCTGCAGTGGAAACATCGGATGGTTGCCTGGCTGAGTGATACGCTGTGGGTGTGTCACTTGTTTTGCTGTGACAAGCCGAGCCGAGTGGTTGTATGCGGTTGTCAGGTTTCGTTCCTCCGAAAGGAAAGACCGCCGAGTGCTGGGTGGAACAATACACCAACTGCACCATGAGCTACACGCAAATCCGGTGTCCAGTGCCTTGACTGACACGCCTTGAATGCATGTCAAGTCATGTCATGCGGTCCAGCGCGTGACTGACCATGGATGCCCTTGCCTACATGGAATGAGATTTCGGACGTGACCTTAACGTTACTGATGATCCATTCAGAATTTTTCACAACTATATGAACTTCCTACAGGTATTTCTAAAAACATTTTGGTGCCAAACAGCACTGTCAACTAAGGACTCTTGCCCCATGGTTGCTGCCAGTCCAAGTTTTCCGTGCATTTTCACGTGCGTGACTCCAGAGGAGTCTCCGCTCGTTCGCCGCAGATTTTTTCCGCAGAAACATGATTCAGATTTGACAGAGTTGCCCATAAATGGTGTATAGGGTGAAGACCATTCCATCGATACCCAAGCTCTTGAGATATCTCTGGGGCCCGATCCATTTGCAATGCCTTGTGAAGGAGTGCGCTGAATATAGCCCTGGCCATGCTCGGCCGGATTTTGAGCTCAAACTTTGCACGCCTTGTTCCGTGCTAGGCTCGGCAGATGTTTGGAACTTAGACTTCTGCAAGAATAAATGAACCAATGGAGTGGGACATGTCCAAAGGTTCTTGAATTCGAACATGAATTGGGATGGTTGATGGGCACATTGGTTGACAAACGGCCACCAGCAAGGGGCAGGTCATGTGGAATTTGGCAACTATATATAGCATGTAGAAATCAGGCATCAGCGTTGTTTTCCGCAGGCTGCCGCTACTGCACGTCGCACACGGAGTGCAAAGAGTGCTTCCCAGGCGCCTTTCTCGCGCCCGGGCGAAGCGGTCGGAGTGGCGAGCCGGCGGATCGCTGGAGTGTCCATGTGATGTTGAGGTACTGATCGCAAATTCTATTTACTTATTGTTTCGACTAGCTTCTTGTTCCTAGTAGTAAGGCACTTGTCACTAGAAGCGATGCACTTGTTCCTAGTAGCTTATTGTTTCTATTTACTTATTGTTTCTACTAGCTTCTTGTTCCTAGTAGTAAGGCACTTGTCACTAGAAGCGATGCACTTGTTCCTAGTAGCTTATTGTTTCTATTTACTTATTGTTTCTA